AGTTGGACTAGTTAGACTATCTTGAAAGCAATAGATCAATAACTGTCATTAATGATGTGTGCAGCCATCTTTCTACACTACGTTATAAGGTGGCTCCTAGGACATGTTGAACCATCATATTTCTCAAACTCAGGAACTTGAATTTTGTTGCTATTGTCAAATTGAGCATTAAACATAATTGTGTGGCCTCAATATTTCCGTAAATATCTGTCCCTTCAATTTCTTGTAATCTTTCTTCTAAAACATCCAACTTTCCTTGAGCTTGAGTACCCTATTGTTGTCATGTCTCCATTTCATGAGTTTTAGGGTAACTATACTAGTTGGCATGTTATCGATATAAACTTCAGTTTGGACCTCAACTTGTCTAAGATTTGAGACAGGAGATGGAACAGTGTAAGGTGTATTCATGTTAACAAATTGTTGAGCAGCTTGTGGTTGAAGTATATATTGAAAAGTAAATCCTAGTGGATAAATTTGATAATCTGTTTCTTTAGTCGGATTACTTGACTGCGCATACTTTCGGAAACTATTTTTCCTTTCCCAGTTGAGAGAAGCTCAAGTATTTTTGTCACTTGTTCACTAAGGTTGTTGTTCTGTTGCATTTTCTCCATGTCATTGTCTTGCCCATCCATGATTTGTCCATTAGATCTTGTATAATAAGAGTGACAAATGTGCAATCATTGAGCTATTTTGGAAGATTATTTTTAAAGAAGTTGAGACATGATAAATAATGCAACAATTATTTTTATTTAAAAACAAATGCATGATAAACAATAATGAAAATATTCTCAAAATTTTTATGGATTAAGAAAATAAAATTAACATGCAGCATGCAAGAATGATTTGTGAAATTTATTTATTTTTATATTTTTAACTATTTAAAGAAAAATTTCATAAACTAGATGCAATTATGAAAATAATGAATGAATGATGAAAGATAAAAAAAAAAAAACGAGGGATAGTAATGACTTGTGAAATAAAAGAGATGCATATATTTTTATTTTTTTTCCAACGTATGAAACACATGACACAAAAAAAAGGTGTAAATTGCTCCAAATAATATGATGCTTAAAGATTCATATTGTGGAATGTGGATGTTTGTTGGTACACTCAAGGATATGTGACCGGAATAAAATTAGGTTCTAATGCACCTCAAAGAGGAAAGACTCAGAGCCCAAGTTTTAAAAAAGTCAATTAGTTTGATTAGAGAATTTCATGTTCTTGTACGGGAGTCGAAACTCCTCGAAGATTAACACTACTCAGTCTCTATTATAATCCTACAAGATACATGCACAATGAGTTGTGATGTGTGTGACATTAATTATCCAAATTTACTCCAAATAAATAAATGAAAAAACAAAGGTAAATCAACAAATAAAAGTAGTTCTGATACACAACTTTTCATAATTAACAATAAAAATTTTCTAAAGGTGGTAAAAAAAAAATTCTAAATTGATAAGGCCCTCAAATAATCGAAAATAACAAAACAATTAATTTAAGCGATAATTTTTCATGTGTCGGATAGAGGTCGAAACCCTTCAAAGGTAGACACTACTGCATCTTCAATTCTAATCCTATATGGTATAGCTCAAACATAGACCTGTAGTTGCGTGTGATATATATGAATTGTCACAATTGAACAAATAAATGAAAAATTATTAGTAAACAAACATTTTTCAATTAATTACAGAAAATGGTATGGTGTTGGTAATTGATCTAAATCCAAAATAGATAAGACCCTTAAATAATCTCAATATGTTACAAAAGTAACAAAGGGAAAAAATTTGAACAAGAAATTTTCGTGTGCCTACACAGGAGCCAGAACCTCTCGAAGGTCAATACTACTACATCCTTTATTCTAATCCTACAAGGTACTAGCCCTCGTAGAGGGCTTGTGCATATATGTAAAATGTATGATAACATGTAAAATAAAATTGCACAAATAAATTATATATAAATAATATTTACAACGAAATTACAGATAAACAAAATGTACCAACAAATTATAAAAGGATGATAAAAGATAAAATACAGTAGCTTGACTTTATTAAAATGGTGCCCAATGGAGTCGCCAAGTTGTCGCAACGTGATCGCAATGTGAAGCAGCCGCCATCCTCTTTTAAGGGTATCTTAAAATACAATATTTTGGTGTCGCCACCAATCATGTTGACGGTGTGATTAGTCACCCAATTAGAATAAAATAAAGAAATTTAGCCTGTGTGAATGAGATCGAATTCGAGAGTCATTTGTATATAAGGAAGGTGTTAACATCCTACAACACCGGTGAAAATGGCTACTAGTATTTTATTTTTATTATCCAATTTATTAAATTATTAAAGGTCTACAAAAGTTTATTTTATTTTATTTTTTAAATGTCTCATGTTTATTAATCCACATTTTAGAAATAAAACATGAATTAATGATTATGGGTTCATTCAAAATATGGAAAAAATTATCTTTTGGACAAATTTTAAGTATTTAAGAAATTTAACAAATTTCAAAAAAAATTTACTCGATCTCTCTTATATTTTTGAAAATTTGTTAGTGCTTTTTAAAATTTTTTTATCTTTATTGTTATATGAAAAATGTTTTGAATTATTGAAATTTACTTTAAGATAGAAATTTTATCAATTTATGGAATTTATAAAATCCATAAAAACAATACTACTTTTTCCAAAATTATGAAAATTGACATTTTTATTTACACGAGAATTTTCATGTATTTATGAATTTTAAGAAAATCCACATAGATAACACTACTAATTCTCAAATTTGATTTTGATATTTTGTGTAAGGATATTGGTTTTTTGAAATTTTGTAAAATTAATTTTGGTGAAAATTTTTATTTATTTATCGCATTTTAAGAAAAACTCACATGGCTCAACCTCAAAATTAAATATTTACTTCTTCCATTTGTTTTGAAATTTAAAAAACATTTACTTTTGAGAATGACATGAGATTTTGTTGGGTTTAGAAGTAGACATAATTGAAATGTAAATATACTACTTACTAAAATCATGATTTAAAATCCTAAACAATAACTTTAGGTCTCTATTATAAAAAAAAAAGACAATGAAAAGAATTCAAATGGATAAATATCTACACATCTCCATGTATTTAGAATTCGAATATCTCACACATTCAATTTTGTCAAAAACAAAGATAGCTTGTGAGATTAACTAAACATGCATTTAAAAATGGAGAAGAAAAAAATGGAAAAAATTTGTAGCGAAGATATGTTTAACCCCAACAAATCACAACTAACTCATGTGAAACGACCTAATTATCCAAGTTATTTAATGACTCGATGGATGATAACGATGAATGTAAAATTTACGTTTCTATTGTATAAATAAAAATTAATTTGACTTGTAAAAATGCTAAAAATATGCAAAGTTAAAAAGGTAGATGAACACACGACGTTTTTAACGTGGTTCGATTTCACAACCTACCCCACGAGGCCACACCCAGATTATCAAAAGATTAGTACACAATACATATTGTCTTATGCATAAATTTAAAAGAACTCCATTCTTTATTTTTATGCCGCAATCCCTTGCTCCAATCTCTTTGACGATCTACGTTCACAAGCTTCCCTTGTGTCAGATTCAGTGTGTTCAACAACCGTTTATGACATTCGCCGTTTTCGATCGAAGTACGTTCTCAATATATATAACTAAAAGAGAACAAATAATTCGTTTTCGGTTTCACCAACAAAGGATCAAACAGTAAGAAAGACATAATTGGATCAATCAATAAGTAAGAAAAATATTGTTGTATCGATGCCTTTGTCTAAACCACCTTTTAATATTTAAAGAATAAAATCACTCACCATATTATGGAAAATATTCAATTTATGAATCAAGACTAGCAAAATCAAAGGCAATGAGATAAGGAAATGAATCAATCTCTCAAATCTCTCAATCAGATATATCACAAATTTCAAATAAATCCATTTGACAAAATTAAATCCATTTGACAAAATTACCAAAAATGAATAATTAATGCCTAAGGAAATTATGAAAGAAAGCCAAAAATAATGCCAAGAAAATAAAATGTTAAATTAATCTCTCCTATTAAGAAAGACATACATTTGGCTATTTGACTCGATTTATGGATCAAGGGTGACGTGGAATATAAATGGAGCAATTGAAGCACATGAAAGTACAAAATCTTCGTTGAAAGGCAAAGTGTGAGTTAAAAAAAACTATATTTATGATATTTTTCCTCTCTGTATTTTATGTGTGACTTACCTGTGTGCCCTTTTCCTCTCTTTTACCTCTCATTAGAATAAAAATCAATCACTAGTAGAAAGTCGGTCTTCAATGACAGTTAAATTCTGTCATTAACATCATTCATGACAATTATGTAATTGTCATCTATTAAGGCATCAAGAAAGAGGAGAAGATGACAAATTTGAAAAATTGTCATCAATGCATTTTCAACTACAGTTATACTTTGTCATGAATAGATTTTCCATCACAATTAATAAATGTCATGGAAAGTCATTTAATTACAATTTATAAATCACTAAAACAATCAAATATTTTTGTCATTCTGTCAATAAATACCTAAATACGACAATTTATAAATTGTCATGAACTAGTTTTTAACGACAGCTAAAGATTGACATGAATTTTTTTTAACGATTATTTATAACCGTCATGAAAACTTTTGTAGTGATAGTTTTAATAGTCAATATTGACAGTTTTAACAATCACGAAAAATTGTATAAGGACAACTTAAAAATGTCATGCAACATTAAATAATGACATTCAATAAATGTCACGTAAAGGCTTACAACGATAATTTAGAACTAACATGATGTACTTGATAATGTCAACATTTAATTGTCAAGAAACATTTAATTTTTTATTTTTTTTTGTCACGAAATCTATTTTGTTGACATTTATAAATGTAACTTTTCATATAAGCATGTTTTGAAATATTTCTAAAAATCGCTTTCCATAGTTGTACCTGTGCCTGTCAATTGTAACGTATTTTACATACAAGAACATATATATCCATTAATACACCAACCCACCTACAAATATAAAGTATATACATATAGTAAATTATATATACATGAACGAAGGTTTTCATGTCCATCAATCCCGTACWTAAACAAACTATACCAAGTAACTACTAACCCAACAAAAAATGGCCCAACAATCATCTTTTAGATATTCCAAGTAGCTACCCGTCSTGGTTCTCYAGGCTSTTCTTGGAAGACCTAARCAATGGACAAAAACCTCAAATATTTCACAATAGTATATGCAAAAGGTCAAACTATAACAAATGTAGCTAACATATTACTATTATATGTTGTTAGAGTTCATACCGTGTAAACGTGAAAGGTCAAACTACAAAATGTAGCTAACATATTACAGAAACGCTCGGCCCTGCTTCCTTCAACCCTCGCTCCGACTTTGCATGACACATATAAACACTATATGCATGACACAAATATGAACAATAAGTCTTAATTGGCTATCTTTGCTGCAGGATAGCCACACAATTATCCAACTAAACTTTAAACCACACAATTATCCAACGATA